ATGCAGCTGTGGGGAACAGGGCTCTGCGGGCTCGGGGAGCAGCCCCAGCCGTCCCTGCTGTCCCGAGTCTCACAGCCAGTGAGACACATCCAACACCCACGACAGGGAGCCAGGGCAGAGCAAGGGAAGGGTTTGGTACGCAGCAGGAGAGCCCGGAGCTGCTCGGCTCCACCACGCTGCAGGGAGGCAGCTAAAGGGAATTGCGAGGAAACCACAACCTACACCCCTGTGCATGCCACGCTCCACCGGGCAGCTAAGCTGTCCCCATGTGGGTCCTCCGATCCCTGCGCCACCACCTCCACCCTCCCTGCTGTCCAGGTTCTGGTCCCTGCAGGTGCTGCAGGCTCCTGGGGGCCACAGCAACTCCCCTTCCCTCACCCAGGTGCCCTTACCTTGATGGAGAGCGCGTAGAGGTGATTGAGCATGACGTGGTTGGGTTCGGGCAGCAGCGCTGGGTCACACTAGGAGAAGAGGAGTGTCACAGGGGAACAGCAGAGCCCTGACCCCCCAGCCCCAGCCATCGCAGGGAGCTGCCATCTCAAGCAATCTGAGCTGCTGGTGTCTCCGGCTGTTCTGAACAGGAACAGAGCTCAGCTAAGCACCAGGCAGAGCGAGGGGCCAAAACAGCATGGTTAACGGGAAAAGTCACGCTTTTCCCAGGAAATGCCAATGGCCAGGCCCCAGCCAAGGGAAGACCAGGTTCCCTGCAGACAGGACTCCCCTTCCAACCCCCGTGTGGCTTGCTGTGTGCGGGCGGTATGGTGGTACCCACCGAGATATTGGTGTCCTTGTTCAGGATGACCTGGAGGAGGTGAGGCGGGAGGATGGGTGGGGATTTGAAGCGCTCCTCAGGCCGGTATACATACATCTCTTGGCCATAAGGTCCAGGTGGTGAGCTTGACAAGTCTAAAGAGAAGAGAAAGGAGGAGACGTGAAATGGCTAAAGCAGGATGGGACAGCACAGAGCAGCTCCCAAGAAGCTGAGAAGGACCCAGCAGGGAGATGTTTCAGGCCCAAACATCTTCCATGAGCCAGGGCCATGTATCCTATAGCAACAGCTCAGCCTTTTCACAGCAGAATAAGCAGCCAGGCGAGCCCCGGGCATTTCCACGCAGGGCTGTAAGCTGGTATGTGCGCTGACACAACACAAGCACCCTGTGGTACCCACCTCAAGACCCCCGCACACAGCTCTCAGCACAGCTGGGTCCCTCTCCCTGTGGCAAGCAGCCAGCTTGCCCCAGAGCTGTACCCTTTGCAGCCGGGGCACAGCAAGCAGCACACTCGCACGCCCCCCGTGCTGCAGGACTGCCTGACAAGGAGGTCCCGGAAAGGGCAAATGGGAAGTCTAGACTGAGCAGCTTCTCAGGCCCATGTGAGGGACCACAGTAGCCTGTGGTCACTGGAAGCTGGACTGGCCATATCTGACCTGATCGTTTTGGAACCAGCACCCAGAAGGGCTCCACCTCTCTGGAGCTGCTGATGCTTGCTGGCATCCTTCCAACGAAGTATCTCCTGCCCAGGCTGGGCAAGGACGTGGAGCTGAGCTCTGTCTGAGACAGGGTTTGTACCAGGGATAGCAGGCCACACTCAGAGCGCCCTGGGCCAAAACACGACCGAGCTGCCTGCCAGCATTACACACCGAGCCAGCCCTGCCGGTGTCTGCACGGTAACCTAACCTGCTGCTATAACACAAGTGGGGAGGGAGGTTTCCGATGTGCTAGGGCTAGTACAAATTACCTTGGCATGAAAACTAAGAGTAGCTGCTGAAAATAACCCGGATCCTGCTCTCACCTAGCTTGTACCCCAGATCGGGTGACTTACTCACAGCTGAGCCGACAGAGAGGGCTGATGTTCCCAGCGATCACCAGTCTGAAATGGCTGCCCCAGCCGCACACAGGCACTGCCCCTGCCCTGGGACGGTGCTAGCACAGAAGAAGTTACACCAGCACAGCCCCTCCACAGAGCCGAGGCCCCAGCTGTTGGCTGCTGCCGCTGTCAAACACTACTCTTCCCAGGCGACAGGCCCACGCCTCTGCTCAGGGGGTCTGTTCACCCCAGAGCAGTGAGTCTCAGAGCAGAGGAGGTGGAAAGTAGCACATGCAAAGCCATAATGCCACAAAAACTCACCCCGACCTGAGGTTTCTGAGCTCTCCAGGGAATCCACCTTCAAAGCATCGAACACCTCGAAGTCAGACTTCTTGACGTGAATCAGGTTGTTAATCGTCCCCATCTGGCTGGTGACCACAGGCTGGAGAGAACTGAGGTAAGAGTCTTCCTGTGCTCCCCTCCAATTGAAGCAAACTCAGTGCTTCCCAGATCCTCCCAGCCCAAACTGTCTTTGCTGCACCATTACCTCAGAGCACAGGTGGCCAGCATCTAGCTCTGCTCTACTCTCGCAGATCTTGCTGTTTACCCTGGGAAGATTTCCCTTTACTCCCAGGCTCCTACATCACCTACTGTTTTCATCCTCCATCCTGCTACATGCTGATGGGGAAGTGTCCTCTCCTTCCCATGCTGCTACAGCGTGATCCAATTTGGAGGAGAACCTGCAAGCGAGTGCTGACCTCATGGCCCATCTTCCCATGTAGCCAATTCTCAATGGGACTTAAAGGCCTTCTGGTGTTTCCCTGCCCCTCAGTACCTCCCTGACACTCTCCCATGCAGCATGTCTAATTCCAGAGGAATCAGCCTCTGAAAGGACTCACGGGATGGAGGTGCCCCTTTCGTTTTGGCAGATACCCTCTGTTCTTCCTGTTCCCCCTCTGCTGCAGTTACATCATGTGCAGTCCCCTGAAGAAGACAAGATCTGCAGGGATAAAGCTTTGAGCGTTACCTCGGATGGGTCATGGACCCACTGGCCATCCACAAAAAATTTGTACTGGTGTTCTCCTTCTGGGAGGTCCAGGATAGCGACAAAGTCGTTGTGGCTGCGCAGAGAGAACAGACGTGCAACAGCATTACCCTGCTAATTCTCTGGATGCTGCTCTTCCATGGGGTCCCAGAAAAGAGCATTTTTTCATGCACTTCCCCCAACACCTTATGCAGGGTTAGGCTTGCTCATCATCAGTGATCTGAGGCACGGACACAACAGCGTGAGCGTTCAGCGCACTGGTGTGGCTCAAACCCCTAGGAAACCAGCTGCAAGGAGCACAGGAGGCACTCCAGCCCTGCGTGCCCATACCCTCTGCACAAGACACACCGGGGAGGATGTGTGGGCAAAGCATCTCACCCTGCGCTGTCACTGCAGGGTGTGGGCAGCAAGTGTAGCAGCTCTGTTTGTGAAGCCTGCAATTGAGATAAACCCATTCCAGATTATTTTCTGGGATTATGCCCAGAGTGCTACAAAGTGCTTCCACGGAAGTCACAGATGTATTGCAGAACAGCGAGAACATCATTAGGGAAGGAAGACATGTGAGGGACAAAGAAACAACCCCCGCTGGCCACAACACAAGTAGGCATGGGGTAAGGCCACAGCCAAGGGAAGAGCTGACAGCTTGCAGAGGACTGCTGCATACCGGGGCAGGGCTCTGCTGCCAGGACTAGCTGCTGCGTGACATCCAGCTGGGCAAGCAAAGTGGCCCATCCTGTCCTGTCTCTCTGTTTCACAACTTCCCACCGCAGCATCACCCAGGGAAGAAGCTGACTACATATTTGTGCTCAGACCCTCCAGCTCAGGTAAACTGTGAAAAGCCAGGTGAGCAAAGGGAAGAGCAACCAGCACGGAGAAGGGAAAACACTCCCTACGATGGAGAAGAGGAGAACATAGAGTGACCTGAGGGACTGGCTACCTCTTGATGAGTGGGATCTTGGTGCTCCAGTTGTTGAAAGATCCAGAGATGAAGACCTCTTTACCTCCATCGGCCCAGCGGATGACAGTGGGACGAGCCTGTTGGGATGGTTTCACCGACTCCTCCAGATCTGGCTGCCATGACACAAACTCCTTGTCCCCAGGAATCTGAGCAAAGAGAACCAGAGCCTGACTGAGACACAGAGACAACCAGGACCACATTCACTTGCCCCTGGCCTCTACCAGCCCACCTGCACATCCCAGACAAGAGCACTGCAGAGCCTCCTGGTTCTCCACAGACCCCTCATATGGTTGGGAGCACAGCCCTGCACAGCCAATGAGCTGAAGCCCCAGCCAGGGTCTCAGAAGGCAGGACAGGGAAGGCAGCAGCCAGCCCCTACCTTGGAGTCATGGGAGCTGAAAACACTGGGGTCGTCGGTGCTGCCCACCATGATCTTGTGCGGGTGCTCCTTGGCAGGGTGGGGGGCACCGGAGCCGTCCGAGCGGTGGGACTTGGAGCCATGGCGCTCCCCAGACACTCGCTCACTGGTGGTGTTCCCCATGACAGCTCAGTAGCCCCTGTGAGAGAGAGAGGATGGCAGTGTGCCTGTGCCCATGGCCTCCGGCAGCAAGGAGAGGAGCAAAGGCACTGTTTCCCAGTGCTCTTTGCCAGGGGAGACTGACAGCAATCCTAAAAAAGGCCCAAAGTTCATTCCCACTGCCAAGTTTGGGAACTGGATGGGAATTTAACAAACAAGACAGCTTGACCTAATTATAGCCATATCCTTATCATAACTCCATTTAAGCTGGTAATTGTTATACTCCAAAACCGATACTAGTTATGCCGCATCCCACAGAAGCCCTCAGCAGTCAGCGTAGGAGAAGGGCTGATGGGAAAAATAAAGCCAACCTCTATTGGCAAATCAATTACTTGGCATTAACAGAGCCTCTTTCACAGTCCCACAGCCAGGCTCTACAGACAAATCCCCTACACCCAGCACGAAAACAGCCGGAGAGCGAAAGTAGCAGCTGTTTAACAGCTCCAAACAAGACTCCAAGAGCTTGCGAGCAGAAAAGCGGAGCCTTGCGCCTGGCAAAGGCGTCAGGGAGCATTTAAAGCGTCCGAGCAGAATCGCCCAAGCTGGAGCTTGGCCAAGGTGTGGGGCTAATGCCGTGGTGTCTGCAAAAAGCTCAGCTCTCAACGGCATTCACTTATGATTCACCAGGCAAGCCACCGTGTCAGCTGCGGCACAGCGCAGTGAGGAGGTCCGCTTGTTGTGACCCTAACCAGCGGCATCACCCCAGGCACTCCAGCCTCTGCCTGGCCATCCGGAGGCACATGACGAGGGAAGGGCAAGCCCAGCTGCCTCAGTGACACTGCAGCTAGAGATGGGCCATCGTCCTCAATCTCAAACAGCTCAGAGAAGGCAAAACAGAGGAACTGGCCATGTGGCGCCAAGCCACAAACAACCACATACTTCTCGGGACAAACACCAAAGCCACCGCAAGCTACATGGGACTCTTCTGGCCTTACCCACTTTCCAGCAGTTGAGATGGATTGGGGTTCTTGCCCCCTTCCCAGGCTTATTTTGCAGCTTTCAGCTTACCACACTGATCATGGGGCTCTGCAGGGCAAGGCAAGAGGACAGCCAGCCTTGCTTCATGTGCTTAGCTGTGACATTTGGGGATTTGTTTAGAAGATCAAGTCATATGAAGGGTGCCAGGCAAGGCTGCCAGCCAAAGCCAGGCTTTAGAACATTACGGAGCAATTACCAAAGTAATTCTTAAATCCTGAGGGCTAAAAGGCAGATCAAGAGGGCAGCTAACCCATTCTTCCCCCCCGCCCCCTGCTCTCAGTAAGGATCAAGCATACCTGAGGATACAGGTCAGATGAGCTGCACTACTTGCTGTGACATCTTCCCCCTCTGCCCTGGAGGAGGTTCAGCCAGCTCCTCACAAAACCTGACCCTGTGCCACTAGACTTGCTGTTGAGGAACTTCTCCCCCAGTATCTCCACTAAGGCTCCCTTACTTCTCATCTTCGGGGAGGAAAGTAGGAAAGGCTAAACATCCTCCTGCACCAAGGCAGACCTGAGAGATACATTCAGGTGGTAACAGATGTGACAGCTTCCTTTTCTCTTCTCTAAAAGGAATCCAGTCCCTCTGGCTGTCCCTTACAGGTCACGCTCTCCAAATGCCTCCTTAGGTTTCTCCCAAGCAGTGGCTCCTTCCTGGCACAAGGCATCCGAAACCCTGTGCAAACAAGACCACCCCACATCCTGCTGTGCCGGGACAGCAAGGTCTTTAAGCATAGCCTGCAGAACTTGGCTTCACTGGATTAACTTCTATAGCTCAAACTGCTCCTGTGTTCAGACACACCCTTGTAGTACAGGATGCTCTGATGGTGTGACTCAAGTACGTCCAAGTCACTGATAGAAACGCTGCCTGTACCACAGCCCCAGCAAACCTCCGCAGTGTCCCAGCGCATCCGCTCCCAGTTTGGCAGCAAGTCGCTGCCAGCTGCAGTCCGCAGTAAGGTGGGTGCCTGCCGGTCGGATCCCAAAGCCCCTTCGGCTTCAACCAGCCCCACCTCCCCACTTTGCTTCTGAAAATGACACGCGAAATACACCCGTTCCGTCTGAAATGAGTCACGCTTGCTGCCTCTCCCACCCAGTCAGTGACCCGCACTGGGAAACACTGGCAGCCAGCCTGAAAGGGTTTATTTTGGAGAGATGGGGGTCCCTGTTCAGCACCCGCAGCTGCCTGCAGCCTGCTCGGCTGACACCTCCCGGTGCTGGAGTCACCC